GCAGGTATTGTACGTAGATACATCTACCGTGTGTAGATACAGCCACCATGCGTAGAGCAGGTATTGTACGTAGATACATCTACCGTGTGTAGATACAGCCACCATGCGTAGATGCAGGTATTGTACGTAGATACATCTACCGTGTGTAGATACAGCCACCATGCGTAGATGCAGGTATGTACGTAATACATCTACCGTGTGTAGATACAGCTACCATGCGTAGATGCAGTGTTGTACGTAATACATCTACCGTGGTGTGTAGATACAGCCACCATGCGTAGATGCAGGTATTATGTAGATACATCTACCGTGTGTAGATACAGCTACATGCGTAGATGAGGTAATGTACGTAGATACATCTACCGTGTGTAGATACAGCCACATGCGTACGATGCAGGTATTGCTACGTAGATACATCTACCGTGTGTAGATACAGCCACCATGCGTAGATGTAGCGTATTGTACGTAGATACATCTACCGTGTGTAGATACAGCACCATGCGTAGATTGCAGCGTATTGTACGTCATAGATACTCTACCGCGTGTAGATACAGCTACCATGCGTAGATGCAGGTATTGTACGTAGATACATCTACCGTGTGTAGATACAGCTACCATGCGTAGATGCAGGTTATTTACGTAGATACATCTACCGCGTGTACATACAGCTACCATGCGTAGATGCAGGTATTGTACGTAGATACATCTACCGCGTGTAGATACAGCTACCCATGCGTAATGTAGGTATTGTACGTTAGATACATCTACCGTGTGTAGATACAGCTACCATGCGTTAGATGCAGGTATTGTACGTAGATACTATACTCGTGTAGATACACACCATGCGTAGATTGCAAGGTCATTGTACGGTAGATACATCTACCGTGTCAGATACAGCTACCATGCGTAGATGCAGGTATTGTACGTAGATACATCTACCGTGTGTAGATACAGCCACCATGCGTAGATGCAGGTATTACGTAGATACATCTACCGTGTGTAGATACAGCCACATGCGTAGATGCAGGTATTGTACGTAGATACATCTACCGTGTGTAGATACAGCTACCATGCGTAGATGCAGGTATTGTACGTAGATACATCTACCGCGTGTGTACATACAGCCTACCATGCGTAGATGCCAGGTATTGTACGTAGATACATCTACCGTGTGTAGATACAGCCACCATGCGTAGCATGTAGGTATGTACGTAATACATCTACCGTGTGTAGATACAGTCCCATGCGTAGAATGCAGGTATTGTACGTAGATACATCTACTGTGTAGATACAGCCACCATGCGTAGATGCAGGTATTGTTACGAGACATCTACCGCGTGTAATACAGCTACCATGCGTAGATGCAGGTATTGTACGTAGATACATCTACCGTGTGTAGATACAGCCACCATGCGTAGATGCAGGTATTGTACGTAGATACATCTACGCTGTAGATACACGCTATCATGCGTAGATGTAGGTATTGTACGTAGGATACATCTACCGCGGTAGATACAGCTACCATGCGTAGATGCAGGTATTGTACGTATACATCTACCGCGTGTAGATACAGCCACCATGCGTAGATGCAGGTATTGTACGTAGATACATCTACCGTGTGTAGATACAGCTACCATGCGTAGATGCAGGTATTGTACGTAGATACATCTACCGTGTGTAGATACAGCCACATGCGCTAGATGCAGTATTGTACGTAATACATCTACCGCTGTGTAGTCAGCTACCATGGTAGATAGCGTATTGTACGTAGATACATCTACCGTGTAGATACAGCCTACCATGCGTAGATGCAGGTATTGTACGTAGATACATCTACGCGTGTACATACAGCTATCATGCGTAGATGCATGGTATTTACGTAGATACATCTACGTGTGTAGGATACAGCACACCATGCGCTAGATGCAGTATTGTACGTAGATACAATCTACGTGTGTAGATACAGCCACATGCGTAGATGCAGGTATTGTACTAGATACATCTACCGTGTGTAGATACAAGCCCACCTGCGTAGATGCAGGTATTGTACGTAGATACATCTACCGTGTAGTAATACAGTTACCATGCGTAGAGCAGTATTGTACGTAGATACATCTACCGTGTGTAGATACAGCCACCATGCCGTAGATGCAGGTATTGGACGTAGATACACTCTACCGTGTGTAGATGCACACACACACACACACACACACACACACACACACACACACACACACACACACACACACACACACACACACTGTTAGTACTAACCTTCACTACGCATGGATCTTAAGTCACCTGTATAATTGATGAGTGAACGCACGCTCCCGCGTCGATAGTAAATGTCTTCAGTGGAAAAGAAATGAAAAGAGTAATTGGTAAACGACATTAGTCGTGGCTCATGCTGACGTCATTATTAGCACAACGCACACACAAGCTTTTGCGCGACTAAACACCGTCTGTGCAAATGCACCATCGAATCCGTTCCGCTAATGGACACGCGTTGTAAGCACGCAAGGACACTAACAAGGCCAGTTGTTATATATACAGACGCATTCGAAGTGCAGCGCAGTGCAGTCTAATGTTGTCATAATAATTTCTGAGCGGCGAGTTGATCGTTAGTACACGCGTTAAATCATGTAGAATTCACCGGATATTGCGTTTACAGTTGCATATAAAATTATGTGAGCGATGATAAAATCATAAACACTGAGCGTATATTGTTCTCGATTATTTTAAAGCTAGATCCGCTTTCGAGATTATTTTGCGTTTTTGGTCGAATGTCGACGTTTGGGATTTCTGCAGCTTGTCGTTTGATATTGCGGTGAGAAAACTGAAGCCATTTGAAGGTTATTATCATTCACAGTTATCACAGTGGTTACTATGGATGCTCTAGGTATCAGAGGTATGTATAATGGATACCGATGCTCGTTTGTTTATATCGCCATGGTTACGTCGACGACCGGCCAGCGCATGCGCAGTGGATGCTTACCGTTTGGTAATGGCGGTAGGTCCGCATCCTTCAGACTAGTGACACTGTTCTGGATGTCTCCCAGCACCTCGACTTCTGAGTGAGGAGCGTACGTATACACAACCTGTCCAATACGCCTGCAACAGTCACCGAAATCATACATAATAACAGACGTATTATTTATATATATATACATTGTTTTATTATATAATATATATAATATATATAATATATATTTATAACAGACATGACGTTAACCGGGATAATGATGCGTGCGTGCGTGCGTGCGTGCATACACATGTTTGCATCGCAGGTAGTGAGTTTCTATGTATAGCACGCTGTCCCGGTTTCGCATGCGGTCTCACTCGTCTGAGGCTTCACATCTCTGTCTTCCCAGCCACGCGTCATGGCTATTTACGGCACACTTATACCTCGTAGCAATTAAGTTATATCCCTATAGCCTGCCGATAGTCATGCATGTTGACCCGTGCAACATATTATTAGAAGTGTATAATATATATATATATGAAGATATCAAAGATATTACAGACATAATAATGTGTAGATATATAGTCTATATTATACACCCCTGATATTATTGTGTAGTTCATAATCATCATGCTCAAATAGGCCTAGTCATCATAATTTACGTGAATATGTTCACCTATAATTTAAATCATGGCTATATTATGAGAAATCAATTATATTGGTATTATAATAATGTGAATAATTATTATCCTAAAACTTGATGGACGTGACAATGTTGTAAAATAAATTAGTATTAATATAAATTTCCGGATTGCGTGAATTTGAAATTGAGATGATGGAGGTAAACTTACACACATATATATAATATATATATATATATATCGATAATTTAGGCTGGTTCGAGTAGGTTGTTAAGTCATCAGTCGCGTTCTTCAACTGCTGATGATGACTTCCTAACTCGCATGTGTACAGCTGCTATACAGTTGACCTACTCTGCGTTGATATTTCACAGCGTTGATCTACGAGGCAACAACAACGTGCCCACTCACGACAGAGCGAGCAAGCAGTCGATCCCTTAGCGTATATACACAAATCTCACTGCCAGGTCAATATTTACAACCCTATTTTGCGTAACAAGTGGCGGTAGAACGAGGTTGCATTTATTCTGTGAGGTTTACCCGCGAAACACCCAAGCCCACATGTCAAGCAATTACCCTCAATGTGCTATTTCGTTATAACTGCAGTGTCAATATTTCTATGAGAGCGCACGGCAGCAAGATGATTTATTGCATTCTAGCATGTTATTCTGCTAGCGAGACTTCTCCCTACTCCCTCCTAATATGTCAACAAGATTCGCTAAACGTTAGCGGCAACTTACGTACGTGGTACAGTGGCGGGGATGGTAATTCCGGCCACCCACTTTTTTATACCCCCCACACATTCTTTGCTACCTGCCCTTCTTTTGCCTTTTGACACCGCCTGCTGCGGCTACTGCTTCTGTTTCTGCTGCTGCTTTTGCTTTTGCTGCTGCTACCGCTGCTACTGCTGCTGCTGCTGCTGCTGCTACCGCTGCTACTGCTGCTGCTGCTGCTGCTACTACTGCTTTTGCTGCTTCTGCTGCTGCTGCTGCTGCTGCTACTACTGCTTTGCTGCTTCTGCTGCTGCTGCTGCTGCTGCTGCTG